GGACTTACCCCAAAGCAGCTGAATGCTTACAAGTTGCTGCCCGGAGGTAATGCCTGGACGAACCCTCGATGCTGGAGACATTTGCCAGAGGCACGTGCCAAATTTCAAGGAGCCAGCAAGAAGGCACCTGGAAACCCATAATTGACGTATTTTTCTGTCCATACGGCTTGGGCCACTAAAAAATGACCATACGGTCATTTACGGCTTTTTGTCAACAATTTGTTGAAAAAATACGGGTTGCATACGGCCAAATACGGCCACCGGCCAGCAAAAAAAAGGACCACACGGGAAAAACGATCCAAATACGGGTTCCGTCCTAAAAGAAAGGCCATACGGCTTTCCAGGCAGTACTTGTATTGTGGCCACCGGGCTTCGACGTCCACTCGCTATAATTCTGAGATCCAAATGTGCAGTCCGATGTTTCTGCCAATGAGAAATAGCAAGGAGGCAAACGTGTGTGTACACTCCAATTGGGGGAGAAAGGAGTAGGTGACATAGGAGGATTGCAAACTGCCAACGCATTGCCGAAATCCGAACCATCACAAATCCACAAATCACAACAATAGTTTGAATAGTGTGGCTTTACAGATTAACGAGCACACTCGCTACATTAATGAGTCCAGCTCTCGCCGTCAAAATCCACATGCCCGCTCGAGCTTCAAATGCCGTTTTGCTTACTTTTTGACCATGTCACACAGAACTTGTGGCCAACATGGAAGGAACCCTTCAGGAAGCATTCATTGTGCTGCTGCAATCACAGGTGTCTTGCTGACTGGACAGACTGCCAAAGCTTCTTGAATTGCTCATGATGCTCCAACAACATTGACATTTTCGTCGCCGAAATTCATTCAAACTTGAGGCTCGTAGTGAGGACCCAGAATAGAGTTGCTGTGAAACATGGTCTGGGTTGTGCAAAGGTACGCCCCTGAAATTCTGAGACCAGGCAAAACCAACACAAACTGATACGCAAGGAGCAGCAAACATGAAAGCAGCAAACAAGTGGACCAAGTAAGAGTCGTCGTTGTTAATGTGGAGCTAGTTGCAGTACCCAAAGGCCAGGCCTTCTCACTTGGCTTGGTAAGCTGATACGAGATAGATTGCTCTCGAATAAATCAAGTCGTTTCCACAGATAGCCAAAGCAACCAAACGATAAACAGTGTCGTTGCGAATACCTTGCCATCAAACCCTCTCCAGTGCCGCGCTGTACTGGCAAGTCTTCTTTGGGTTGTGCACGAGCAACTCGCATACACTGCTCCCGTACCGTCTCTGTTTTCCCTTACCTGGATCTTCGTCCTCCTGAAAAAAAACGCTTTTTCCGCCTTTGACTGGATATTCGGGAAATCGTAGCACTTTTTGCCGCAAAAACCTGAAACTCCTAAAACTCCTAAAAAACACACTATTGCAATGCTCGCGGCCTTTGACAGGTTAAAAGAAGCTTTGCAGGGTAAACGACTTAAAGCAGCCCGAAAGTTTGTCAACACATGCAACGGCGGTCCAAAGTTGTGCGGTGCAGAAAAAACGTACCCATTTTGACCGCAAAACGCCCGCAAATTTCCGCAAATCTCCCGCAAAAACCCGCAAACTCCCGCACATCAGAAAAAGTCGTAGTTTTGATGATCAAGGCATCCCATGGGGTTCACTGGCACGTTGGCAAGTGCTGCGAGGTGTATTTACTTTGTATGGCCAATGCACGACTGGAAACGACGCAATTCGTATGTGTTTTTGCCCAAATTGTAGCTAAACCACTGGAATTCGGTAAATCGTAGGGGTCTCCTGAAACACCCAGAAATTTCCCGGAGTTTGAAGGTCCAGGTAGTGGTTCCGTCGTCTTGTATTTCTCCCTCAGTCTTTCTGAGTCTTCCGTAGTGTTCCCACAATCTTCCCATTATCTTTCCTCACGTACTCGTCCTGCTTCTGTAGTCCAAACTTTTTGCAAGCGATAAGTTTCGCGGGGAGAACGCATTCTGCCGTAGTTTCACAAAAGCCCAGACGGGGAGCATGGGCCAATCCTTTTTTGGCATTGTGTGTTCAATGTGTTGTCAATGTAAAGACGCAAGTAGTTGTTGCCATTCAAAAGACGCAAGGTTGTATGTGCTGTAGCCAGTAGCGAGGTACGGCAAGTTGATAGTCATCACAGCAAGTTTCACAGAGCTTTCACAGACACGCTGGCAGGTGCAGCGGAAGGCGGACTTTGCTTGCCCCGGTGTCGAGACGAGTGAACCCGGTGCAGCCAGGCAAAGGAGAAGGAAGCTGAGAAAGAGGCTGCTGAAGCTGCAAGACGAGCCGAAGAGGCTGGCATAGCGAGAGATGCTACATGTACAGCAAATAAAGTGACTCTGGCAAGAGGCTGAAGAAGAAGAAGAAGAAGAAGAACGGCAGTGTGCGTCTCAGCAAGATCGCAACCATCCCACAGATTCGCTTTCCCTTGCTAGCACGCCGAACTTTGTTGCATGGGCGATGATATCATGCGGAGAGGCGTTACTTGGGCTCAGCAGGAATGCATTTGAGCTTTTCCAGACTGCTGGCATGAGGCAGTCCGAAAAGAAGAGTGAGGCCTCGCAGAACTACGATTGCATTAGGGAAGCAATTATGCATGTGTTTGCCCGATCCTTACACTATGTCCAACGTCTAAACACGCACATATTCATTGGACATGCGCACCGCACAAACTTCGGCCAACAAGCCAGAACAACACTCTGCAGAGCCGACAATACATGTCAAAGCCCGGAGCAACAAAGCTTTGCAGCTTTATTGTGAATGTCCTGTCATGCCTGCGCCTTTCTTCCCTTGTTTCCACTGTTTCGTCTGTGTCAACATGAGCGCGGCCCAAAGCCGCCCACGCGTCCCGCAACGACCCAGTAGCCAGCAGCAGCAGCAGCAGCAGCAGCAGCAGCAGCAGCAGTACACAGCATAGCAGAAGCCTCCGCGGAGGCTCGAGCACAGCACTTTTGTGATACGTTGCGTGCCGTGGAGGCTCGCGATTCCTCTCGCGAAGGCCCCCGTGGTTCGACACATGCAAAGCCACTTCGCGAAAGCTAGCTAAAAACAAGTCCGCGAAGCCACTCCGAGCCCAGCGTAGGCTCCCCAGCAGTGTGCAGGCTCCGGACAACTAAAAACGTTGTGGAGCCGACTCTGAAGAACCCTCTGCAATTACGACACAGCGGACTGTATTTGAAGCATCGCGCCGCAGTGCCATTGCAGGAAATTCGTATGGCCCGCCATGCGCAATTCCAAGAGGCGCGAAACGTTTGGATGGGTCGGGTACGATTCAGGTGAAAAGTAAATGTGCTATGCAACAAGCATCCCTTCTCACCGACCACTGATTATTGCACAGAGATCATGCTGGAGTGGAAAGATTATCAGAATGTTTGAGTGGGCCCTTGTCCGCGTTGCCCTCGTCCGCCTTCCGTGTTCACATTCATTCTGCATTCCTATTGTTTGCGTGTTTGTTTCATCTTCGTGGTGTTTGCATCATGTGCATGGTGTCGAAGCCGGATGTCAAATATTTTAGCACTTCAGTCAGTGTAAGAAGTTCCAAAGTTTGGGTACGGGGGCACCGATTCCAACAACCCCCGGATGAACCGATGCACCAATGCGTGATTGCATTGGCACTTGTTAAGAGAGGCGGCACCTTTTGGGCGGGACAGTTGTGTGCGAGTGTGATTTGCGGACATACTTGAAAGACGTGCTGCAGCGTTTGAGCAAGTTGCCAACAGAACTCAAGTTCAAAAAGAAAGCGAATGGAGTGACTGCAATCTTCAGCAGCATTCAGTGGCTCAGGTATATTATATGCGTTTATTGTTGGACATTGCTCCCACTGATAGGAGAGATCTTGTGCCACGTTGCTGCAAGCGCATGTTTTTCAAGCTTTGCTGGCTGATTGGAGCTTGTTCACATGCTTCCTTTGTGCCAGGCACAGATCGATATCGATGGATGGGCAGTTGGCGGCAGAGCTGCCTCGCTTTCCCAAGCAGGGCCCTTTGTTGGGCATGTGTCATTACTTTAGCCTTGGGCCAATGGTAGTTGCCAGAACCATCAGAACCGTGCCTGTACCAGAACCACGCTTGTGCTTTCGGCATAACCTGGCATAGCAGAAATTGGCCTGTTCCCTGGCAAACCCTGGGGTAGCTGCCACCTCAGCGAGCCAGCTCAGCCAGGCTATGCCGTCGCTTTGCTTACCCCCTTGTTGTTGGCAAGGCCGGCACTTTGCTAACGTTAGGGTGAGAGGTGGGACAAAATGTGGGGCAAATGTGTTTGCGTACTTGTGGTGTTCAAGCTAACAGGCGCATGTTCTTGCCCATGGGGCCCTACTGAGAGAGACATCCCAACTTCTATGCCGCAGCTTTGCCAAAGGGCATGGAAGTCTGAATCGGCAACGAATCCAGCGCCAAGGGACTTAGATGTCACCACAGGCGGATAGCCTCGCAGGAGTTCCTGTGCTGCAAGTTCTGCTTTGCAGCTTGTTGCGCAGCCTTGTAACATTGTACAGTAATGGCTTTGTGCGCAAGCATATGTTTCATGCCAGAGGTACAGGACATAGGTCTTGCACTGCCAACAATCCTTGTTATGACAAGCTGATGTGTGTGGATGCGTTCAGTCTTTCAGCCAATGTTTTCCCGTGCTGGTTGGCATTGAAATGGACACACTGCCCCGCTTGCGGGCTAGCGAGACGCATTCTGCGCAAGCATTTACTGCCGCCTGCTTGATTTGGGTTTGTCTCAAAATAGTCTCAAAATAGGGTGGTTTCCCTTTGGGTCCCTTTAAAATTCAAAAGGGTACGGTCGGTACGGTCCAAAAACACCCATCTGAAGAAAGAAAACAACAACTGTCACAATTCGGCTGCGCGGGACACCGAGGAGTCTCAAAGGGCCTGGCATGAGCTACAGCCTCTCATGAAGATTAGCAAGTTTCCTTTCAAATGGCCAGACTATGTTACAAAGTTCACCCTTGAGAGCAAGCTATGTTTCTCAGCATGCAGGTCACCAGTGTCCAACTTGCGAGCCCGATCACCAAATGAGCTCGGTTCAGCCATGACTCTGCCACCTTGCTGCGGAATGGCGAGGACACTTTCTTGCAGCACATGTCATCCCAAACACCAAACAAAACCCATCCAGGTCCCGCAGTGGGCGAAGTCGAGGCAACTGACAGCCTTTGTCCGATTCATGCGCAACATCCAGGCAAAGGGCTGACAGCTTCACAGCAACAAAAAGCATCCCTTTCTGAACAAATCTAAAGTAGCCCCGGTGCCCCCAGGCGTGCCCGTGCCGTGACCGGCTTTTCGATTGCACTTAAAGCTTTCAACGAACGAACAGGAACACGTCAATTGTTGGCTCAGCCATTGTTGCCTTTGGACAAGTAAGCAAGTGAGCTGATCCAAGAGCACATCGTGGTGCTGGTTGTTCAGCCTTCACTGTTCCATGCAAGCACTTGGCTACCAAGCAGCTTCAGAGCAACTCTGGCAGGAGGCGAAGCTTACACTGGGCTTCGGCCTTACCTTTTTCGGCCACAGTGTGTCAAAACGGATCGGAATCTCGAAAGCAGCACCAGTTGGCGCGCTGCCTTTGCCTTCCGCAAGCTTTCAAGCAGGTTGGCTGGACAGCGGTCTCGCCAATCTGAAATCTTTGAACACCTTTGAGCACTGTGAACGCACATCGCTGTTCAGGTGCCATGCGCAGTCTTACTTCTATCAGCCGCGTGGAAGTGGGACTTCCTGCAGGCTGAGTAGCAGCTGAGTGCTGCTACAAGATGTTCCGCATGCTACGCCCTGCAGCAGTACTTGGCCCAATCATGAATGTATGTGTAAACGACTCCCAACTTGCAGAGTCAACAACTGTCATGAGAGAAGGCTTAGATCAATTGGCATTGTGGGTTTCCACAAACTTCATTCGCTTGATTACTGCCACCCTGGGCCGCTCATGCAGCTTGGGCCCACTTGTTTCTTGCATTCCGCTGGCCCTTCGCCATGAGCTCGGGACTGGCGTTTTCAGATCCGCAGGCGCAGCGCTTAGCTCATCTCATTCGACTTGCAAAGCGTGTTGGGTTTTCCGATGCTGGGCATTGGACGAGTACTTGGCTGTGGGTCCAAAATAGGTACCCAAAAGAAAACCCTGGCAAATGTAAACCCGTCCCCTGGCGATTTTTTTTTTACACAACTACTTTCATGCATCACCCATGTCGAGCCAGGGGAGATCCGACAGTTCTGGACAGAGCCCAAGGCGTATCCGTTGCCGACGGCGCCAGGATCAACACAGCTTGCCAAAGCTGCCGAGGTGCCAACTGGGCTTTGCCTAGGGCCTAATCATGGATCAGCTGCAAAATGAAACTAGTGAGCATGCAGGGGGGGACAACCGCTGATGGTGGTTCTGTTTGGGGCTTTTGGCTTTGGCATTTGAGCGCTCTATGCGTCAAAATATGTTGTTTAGCTTTGGAGGCTTCGCTTTACGTTAGATTTACAAGCAATCGCATTAGGCTTGTCACCATAATACCGCTTTTGCAAAAGGCTCCGCAAGACCTGCAAGTGTCCTATCACACGAACAACCTATCTAGGGCATTTTGACAAGTCACGCTGCAATTGGCACATGATTTATGGGTCTTCTTGCACACAGCTGTCAATGTGGTTGAATCCAAGAACAAAGCGACTACTGAAAGCAGAAAGAGTGGTGGATGCTGGGTTGAGCATTGTTGGCTTTTGCAGTGTTTGTCAACTTCAAGCACTTGTTTTCTCCGTGGTGCTTGCCGTACCTGCTTGCTGCTGGAATGCTTGCCTCAATCAGACAGACCAGCACGTTGGGCTGAGGCCTAGATTGTTGGCGCAACCTACATGCGTCATGTTTTCTTTCGTTGTTTTCATGCTAGAAGGCAGTGCGGATTTTATCATGGCCCGATTCCCAGAATTTCAAGGGGCTGCAGCCATCATGCCAGCCATCATGCCACGAGTAAATGCAAGCGATGAAGCGAGAGTCTTGGCTTACTGCTACTTGCGTTGGCACTTTCTGCGCAATGGCACAAGCCAGAGAAACGTGCGCCACAAGTTGATGGCCAGAAGGGAGCGCGAAAACGTTCTTGCAGAAAACTTCATGTGGATATAATTGTAAACGCTTCGCGTTGCCCGCCTCGGCCAGTCCGCTGATGGCTGGCTTTGAGGTATATACTGTGCTTTAGTTTGCCTTGAAGTGTTGTTATTAAAGTGAGTGAGTCGGCGCCGAAATGCGCGAGCTGGTTTCCAAGCTAGAATGGGTGCATGTCCGCGGCATTCCACCTGGCTTCAAGGGCCAGAACGAGAGCCGCAGAGAGCAACAGAATGGTGGGCAAGCGCATTCAAGCGCAGGTCCAAATTTCCAGAAAAATGACCCTTTGCTGCGGGGGGCGGATTTTGCCAGTTTCTAGGGAGTTGGATGGGTTTTCAGAGGGGATCTGACAGGTTTCTAGAAGGGAGTTTTAGGGGTATTGATTGGCTTCTGAAGGGGGATTTTGCCCGGTTTGGGAATGTTGCCGGTTTATAAAAAAAAACGACCAGAGTTGGACCAGCTTTGAGAGGAGGAAGTTGAGCGGTTTCTAGCGGGATTTGGCCGGGGCTAGATGGGAAGTTGACCTGCTTCTATCGGCTTCTAGAAGGAGATTTTGACCAGCTTCTACGGTTTTCAAAGGGGATTTGATCGGGTTTTAAGGGATTTGGACAGGGTTTTGAAAGGAGTTGGTGGATCAGGGAGAATCTGCAATAGATCTGACCTCCCGGCCCTGGCGCCAGCTGCTTCCAGGCTTGCTTCAGGCGGACTGGAGGCAGCTGGAGCATTTTGGCCGCACGACATGCGGGGGGGGTCGAAGTGGGGAAGGGGGTTCTGAAGGGGTTTGACCGCTTCCCGGCCCTGGGGGCCGCGGCGAATATTGTGTCTGCGCATTGGGTTGTTTTTTCTTCTTCAAGTTGGATTTTGCAAGCCCTTACACCGTGGAATCCCGTTCAATGTCTAAGCCTTGTGAGGCAACAAAAACCAAAGCACTCCAACATATAGGTCAAGTAGTGAGAGGTCTTGAGAGAGCGGCCCACTTCTTCGCTGGGCACATTCCAACGCACCCAAACTCGGCTGGGGGAAACGAGCCTTGTGGAGGCTAAAGTCAAGCTGTCGGATGAAGAGTGGAAGGCAAAACTGTCCAACAATCAGCTCCTTGGCGTGAGGATTGATTGCCCCAGAACTCGGTGAGCATCCTGCCAGTGAGCCTAGGTATTTGGTTCTCCGGCAGAAGGCGACTGAGCCAGGCTTGGATTTTAAATGTCGAGTAAAGACCCATTTGCAAACCCCGCTTGCACCTGGTTTTGCAAGGGCACAAGCTTCAATTTCCAGCTGGCTTTGATGATCATAAAGAGGAAGGCCGGCTTTGGCAATATGCTGCAGAAGAAGTGTGACATGCAGAAACCATCTCAGGAGTGTATGTTTGCGCTGGCTGCCTGGCTGCTGACGTAAAGCAGCCACTGTACCGTGGCATCGTTTGGGCACTGACCTTGTCAGACGGTCATGTACAATGCAAGGGGCCAGGGAGACCGCAATCTGCACTGATGCGGGAAGGCTTTACTAGAGCGTCGGGTAGAGCCCGAAGAACAATCCCTTTCACACAAAAGCCGGATGCCAGCGAACGCTCTCTAGAATTCACCACACTAAATGGCGGCAGCGACCGAAAGCCCCCAATTTGAGAACATGTCCTGATCCAAGATACTGTAGCTTTGTGAGTGGCTGCCCAACAATGCCCCAAGCATACTCTGACCATGGCCATCATTTTGCGGCAGCATACTTACAGCAGCCACTTTTGCTACGCATGTCGCGCATTGCGCATGGCATGACAGGTTGGTTGAACGTCGTTGTGAAAAGCGCCGCGAATCTGAGTCAAATATGAAGAATGTTTGACATGGCACCAGCCCAAGGCCAAACATGAGCCTGTGCAATTGCAACGCATCATGCATGGGCCAAGCAAAGTTGAAGGAGAAATGTGCTGAGCAATGTGCCGCAAGTGCATAAATTCCGGCCAATCGACTGTGTCTAGCTCTAGGTACACCAGCAAAATGAAGTTCGACTGCGGATGTGGCTGGCCAGGATTCTGGACAAATGCACCTGCCTCATGTCAAAATGTGAGCAATGAGATCCACCAGCAATGCTGGCCGTAAGGTCGCGGGCAACGTTTTTGAGGAACGTGACGCTGATGGTCGCCGCATCTCGGCGGAACCGTCGATGGTCTGCCCTCAAGGTGGCAACGAGTGCATAATTACTCTCAGTTGATGTTGAAAATTATGCTCAAAAGAGGAAGTAGTATCTGTTTAATTTGCAATGGGAGTCTGGATGAACCGCAATGTTTATTCGAACATGCAGGTGGCGTTGTTGTTGTTGTTGTTTGTTTTTTTTTGACCAAACTTCAGGCTGCGAGATTTTGTGCTCCGGCTGCCATGGTCACCTGGGCCACGTGTTCCGCGGAGAACGCTTCGGCTTTTGCACGGATGAGCGCCACTGCGTGAACTCCATGAGCGGCTTGTCTTAGCATTCTGGGGACCCAACAAGCGGCACAGACTCAACAGGCGTGCTGGATGGGTGATGGATTGCTTTTTGAATTCGCAGCTTTTGACTCGTCCGAACATGTCTTGAGAACATCGTGCGCCTGGCAAGCAGGATACAATTGCTCAAGTCAGAATTGCCGATCCAAGGTTTGGTCTTCATGAAGGCGGGTAAGGAGGAGACAGTCTCACCATCCTACACCGGCCGAGTATTCGTTCCATGATACCGTATTATGATGCGCTCACGTTGCAGCGCAGAAAAAGGAGAGTCGCGGCAGATGGATTCTTGCCGCAGCTTGATTATCTATTGACTCGCTCTTGCAAGAAAAAAACACATTTCATGGTTCGTGCACACGGGCACCTGTCGAGGCTTTCCAGAATGTCAGACATCGCGCACCTGGTGTCTCAAGGCTGGCAAACGTTCATGTGGCTCATGCTGCCCTCACAAACTGTGAGCCTGGCCCAGGCTTTGAATAAGGAGTAATGCGATATGGGTGTGGGGCATCCATGTCAGCTTTGGGAGAGCCGGCTTGCCATCCAGCTTGCAGCTGATCCGCAGGGCGGCCAGTGAGGAAACTCCAGAGGCACCAGAGGCCTGGGCCAGCGGCCAGCCTGTGTTTGGGCTCACACACAAGCGACCCAGGACACGGAGGACACGACCAATGTCGAGCTCTTTCGGCAGTCCCTGATTCAAGGCCGTGGGCTTGGAGACACGTAGCTTGGATTTGTGGCCAAGAGGCTGCGGTAGTTTAAGCAGGAAGACGTGTCCATTATAGATATATACCAGCTTTGGAGTCTTCACGTCTACCTGAGCGGGTGGGAACCAGCACCTAACTTGTATCTATCCCGAGCAACTCGCATTGCAGGATGGGGCGCAGGTGATGTTGCAAGCTCAGGCAGGCAAATGCTTTGCAGAAGCTGCATAATCTTACTTGAAAGAGTTCGGCACATTGCTCTTCTGCATGCTCAAAGCCAGATGCTTGCTTTTTGACTGCGGAGATGCTCCACTCCAGCTCACCTCCTGCATTTCCAACGTGAATCTGTTGCGCAGACTCGTCTGACTGGGCAGAAGTTCTAGATCCAGTTCAGCGCTTGGTGTGACTTGCCATGTGCACTGCAACTGAGCCGTACCTCCAATGTGCATCACCTCTTCCGCAGGCCCTCTGCGCCCAAGTTAAGCCAGAAAGCCCTTCCCAAAGCCCCTGTCACAGTCCCCAGTGTCTCCAGCGATTCAGATCTAGGCCGCAGTTCGGGCTGGCGACGTGCTGCTGGGCGATCCACGCAGGCCAGGTGTGAGGTAAGACTCGTGGACGCGCGGCATGTTGGCCAAAATGGCGCAGTTTATTCATTGGCTCAGGTTTTTCGGTGAGGGGAGCTCACCCACATTGAGGCGAATTGGTTTACAGGCCTGGCATTCACAAATGGGACACAGGGCTACGCCCCGCATCTGTGCGAGCACCAGTACGCATCTCTGGAATGGCGGGGATCCCTCGAATTTGAAGCAAATGGATGAAGACACAGGGGACCACAAATTTGGGCCGACCTTCACCCACCCACCATCTTTCCCCGCCCGCATGTGCCCGCAAGGAGCCAGCCCAAAACAGGTACGCTGCGCAGCATGTTTTAGAAAAACATCTGGGGAACAACATCCCGTGTTGACAAAAAAACGGACGGCAGCGTCAGGCAACGCTCACATCCCCAGCAAAGGGGCAGTATAGAAATCATCGCAAGCATTCTCAGAACGCTCCGATTCGAAGGGTTTCGCGCCCCCGGCATCATCGACACAAGGCCAACCCCCCGCAGCAGACTGCATCCTATGGCATGTTAATGTAAGTTCCACGTTTCAACCAGCCTCCCGTTGAGGCAGGGTCGGCGGGTAATCCATCTATTCATGTTACGTCATTTTGTGTCGCATTTGTAAAGCCAACGCAATGCATGTAACTCCGAGACAGCGAAATGAGTTAACTGGGAGAACTCTGCTTTGCAGTCTATGAAGGCGCTAGGAGGAAGCTAATCATTTTGGAGGGACCTGACACCCCACTGTATGAGTCAAGTGTTTGCTGCTCCACACCCAGCCAGAAGAATGCACGCCTCACATTGCACATTCACTTTCGCCAGGAGAGAATACCAGAAGATTATCCACGTCGTGAGCGTTTGGCCAGCCCTGCCATGGTTTTGTGCGCGCGTGTGTGGTGTTGATGGTTCCAGAGACTTGGCTGGCCTCACTCTATGGCCTTAGCATGCCTTAGCCAATTGCGGTCATTTCCCTGCAGCTGCATGCCTAATTATCAATCTACCACTGTCCATTCATCAATTGGCAATGGCTGGCTTTTGGTTGCTGGCCACTATGCAAGGAACATGTTTGCCTGTAGCGTATGGAATGTAAAACTTGTTGAAAGGCGTGATGCTCCAGACAACTAGGTTGCTATCCATTGGAACAGACTGGTTGACGTGGGGCTATGCAGCACAGGATTGCTCGTGTAAAATGCGCAAGTTCCTTTGCCAGCGCTACTTGCCCGTCATCCTCCTGACATCAGTGGAGGACATTAAAACGGATGTGCGCTTCTCAAGGGCGCAAAACAATCGTGTCTGAGTTGCTCGCCTCCGCATACTGCATGTTGCAAACAAGGAGGCTGAGAGAGGAAAGGCTTTCAGTGGGCGTGCATCTATGTCAGAAAGCACGCATGGCACAGTCACCAGCCGTTGCAGGACTCGGGCAAAGCAGAAGGAGTGCCTCAATGTCACGGAAGATACGGTCAGTCGACTCTCTATCCTAGTTAAGCGTTCTGCGGACCTTCCCTTGATAGTCATCATGAGATAGAGAGCACATGATGGAATTGCCAGTTGGCAGGATGCCCATGCAAAATATGCAAGAAGGTTTGAGCGTGGCTTAAAATTGTAGCAATCAACTATTGCTTGCATGGGCACTAACACTTTTGGCACATTCAGTCCAGGACTTGCACTTGTCATTGGTTCTTGACACTCCGGAGGTATGGCTTACTTTGCGAACCGGTCAGCTATTGGGCCAGCCCAGCAGACTTACCATGCAGTGCCGGCAAACAAGATGCAATCTTTTGGACTCCTGACCTTTTTCCTTTCAGAAAGCGCAGCTTGATAACAATGTCAGACCTTTCAGTAGGTACTGCGTGAGGTATCTCAATGATGGTAGACCCTGCGAAAAGACTCATGATTGTTCTACTGCTGGTTCCAGGCGACTTCATCAACTTCTTCCACAGCAGGCACGTAATGCTAAATGTTTTGCTTGGCACGTGTCCGCCTCATCGCACTGCACAGGCCTTTGCTGTATGGTGGTCCGTCGCGATCTGAAAGTTGGATCCCAAGATATATCCCAAAGTCAGCTCATCCGGGCCTTCCAGGTTGCCGGCGTCTGCTGTTGCAGTAGAATGTTCAGACGCGAGTTTCTCGTCTGAACCATAAGTACACAAATCCACTTGCATGCAAAGGTGTGCTCATGGTACACCCCTACGCTGAGGCAGGGTTGCAGCGTGTGATTCAAGGCATCCGAGTCGTCCCTTGCTCATCGCAAGAGGAAGCTGGAAGCTTCAGCCAGAACAACTCTGGAAGAAAACAAATGGCTTAGCACAATCTCTCTCTCTCTCTCTCTTTCTCTTGCCGAGGTGGAAGGTGCCAAGCCTTTACCCGATGGCCTTTTTCTGGGCGGTTCCTTCGAGAGTGCCCAGGCTGGGGTTCGTGGCGATTGTGTTATGATCATGTCATGATCTGGGAGTTGTTCAACAAGATCAGAGAAAGGACGAAAAGTCTGGAGGATAGCATTGCAGACGTCCGTGCCCGTGAAAGGTCCACGACGGAGTCTCATGAAAGACTTAGCTAAGGTTTCTTGGAGGCATGATTGTACGCGCACATATTTGCTGGCTCCACTCTCTTGTAGAAGAGATCCTTGCTTCCTGCCTGTGCTGGAAATGGTCCAGGGCCACTGTTAGTGTGATTGTTGCGTCTGCATGTGCAACTGCAACAGTGAAAATTGCTTCAAAACGTAAAGTTGCAAAGAAAGGACGTGCCGATGGAGCTGCGAAAGATTCGCAACATATGCTTGTGTTTGTCGCGGAGCAAGCTTTTCCGCAAGCAAGAATATTGATCGACTCCCGTGTCTGGTCAAATTGTGGCTGGAGGTTTCCGTAACTCGGTGTTCCATAACGTGTTCGATGTTTACAGCTGGCTGCGTGCGCATGGGCGAGGAATGAGAAAGGTATGTTTGTAGGTATCCAGACAGGCTGCTCCAAACACCCGCATTTTTTTCGTTTAGGCAGGTCTTTTGTTCATTCATCCATGCGAGAACAGCCAATTCTGAACTCACAAAGCGGCTTATCATTGCCGAACCACCGTCTCGCTCATCCAACGCCGCGGCCCTTTTCCGTCTCCCTTCACGCACGGTCCCGCCTGTGGTTTTGTTGAAGACCAGACAGTCAGACACTGACTCATCATGGAATTACTACCTCGCAAAGTGTTTTTTCCATTTGTCAAAGCCAAGACAGCTAGTTAGTCGCATTCCGCAGCCGTGAAAAGTCAACCTTTATTCTACTGGTACAGGTTTGAGTTGCCCAATGGCACAACTCACCCAAGTCGTGTTTGTTAAACAATGTCGTGACACACACACACACGCACACTGAATCCCAATGTATGTGTGTGTATGTCTTCTTTTAGGGACCCCCCAAATTGGTAGTTCTCACGTTGGTTTTTCCTTACAACCACGAAACAAGGGGTAGCCGCCAAAAAAGGTACCACACCCATGGCCCATGTATGCCACGGAGGCATGGGTCGAGGAAGGACAGGGCTCGTCCCTCCGCATGCGCTTCTTCCTGAACCGCATTGAGTGGCAGCAAGGCCTGGCACCCAACTCTGTTGCGGCGGGCTCTCCACCGCAAAAGACAACGAAAAGACAGAGAGAGAGAGAGAAAGAGACAGAGAGAGAGAGAGAGAGAGCGAGCGCGTGTGTGTGTGTGTGTTCCAAAAGCTGTTCATACAATAAGCGAGCGCTCACACACGAACACACGCAAATATAATTGAGTACGAAATATATATATATATATATAGATTGTATTCATAGATATATCATACATTCTATATATATATATATATATTACTTAATTTAGATGTACGTACAAATATATTACATAATATGTATATGGGAGTCGTTCTAAATTGCCAGTCTTAAAATTAAGTAAAGGGAGTTCTGAAGGTCTAGCGCGAAAGGAAAACACTGCATCGCGAAAGGCCGGCGAAAGGAAACGCGAAAGGACTTGAAACATAACGAATACATGGTAGAACCCTCGTTTGGGCTCGGAAACAAGTTTTTCAGGACTGGTTTGTCACAGTGAAAGGAAAACATGGGGCCGCGAAAGGACCGCGAAAGGCCGGCGAAAGGGCCGTTTCCAGGAACTTCTATTTTCCATATATATATATATACATTTACACGTGCATGCAGGGCATTGTTGGTCAGTTGCCATGCTACTAGCCAACATTTCAGAATTTCATGGCTGCGTGATGCCCAGGTGAATTGGCAGCAGAACTTGCGCCTAGCGAGAAAGCTTGGTTGCCAGTGCCTGGTTGCTCGGAACGCTAGCTCTCAATTTGGACATCAACGCCGTCGTTGCATCTGAAAGTTTGCAGCTAGGGCAGGCACTGGGTGTGCCGATCTGTTCCAAGGAGATGCTCTGTGGATTTGGTGCTCTCTGAGGTTGCCCAGCCATGTTACAGTGTAGCGGCTGGGTCATTTGTCGAACTTGCCAGACCGATGCCATCGATGCCAAGCCCTTGTGGGTGAAGGCGCGAGAGCTGATGTTTGCAACATGTCGTTTTTGTCATGAGCTGTAAAGATTCCAAACTGCGGCAGCATTGCCTACACTTCTCACGACCTGCTTTCCGATTTTACCCCGGGAGCTCAATGGGTTAGGTGGCAGAGTCCGCTGGTGGCCAACCTGAGCTTCTAGGACGCCTGCTTGGAGAGGATGGTTTTGTCATGCTGATGCTTGGTGGTTCGGGGTGTTGAACCTTTCATAGTTGCTGACATGAGAGGGAAGCTACTTTTTTCAGCAATGTCTAAGCCGCAAACGACCAAGTGGGGGGTTCCTTGACGCTGGGCGGGTTCAAGAAGTGCGCTGCAGCTTTGTTGACTGAAACATGTAGGGCAATGTCCTGTCTCCAAGGAGGTTCATGACATGCGATGATCGCAACCCAGAATCGGATCCTCACAGGGGCTACAATCAGACTCATGGGGAGGTGACAGACAAATTTCTGCGATGGATGTGCTTGGTCACCGGGAAGAAGGTTGTATGCCTGTTTGAAGATGAGTGAAGGACGAGCTTACGGTCTGTTGTGAGTGGCTGGTGAGAGCTTGGCAAGCTGCAGGCGCAGTTTGGTTGTACCAACATGTGAAGACAAATGCTGCTGCCGGTCAGCTTTACATGTTTTTGTAGAGTACGGATGAAAGAGATTTGTGTCACACTTGTTCATTCAGCTTTGGTCGTAGCAAAGTCAGCTCAATTGAGCGATGGTGCCAATGCAGTGCATCATCAGAGGCGGCAAGATTGTGCCCAAAGCAGTGGCAAGTGCCAAACTCGACTGCCAACTCGAATGCGTAGTCCCTTTGATCGCCGCATGGCCAACCAGTTGGCCGCTTTGTTCAGAACGATGCATGCGGCTCAAGATGTATGGCAAAGTCAACAGAGCAAATAGTCATACTGCATCTACGCTGATACATGCATGCACAGCATATTTGCCCACTAGAAGAATCGGAGTCATTGTGTTTGACTTGATGCTTTTATTTGCAGGACATGCCACTCTTGCAGACCAAAGAGCAGTTATGCGAATCATAGGGCTCCGCACTAAAACAGGTAGCCTTGCAAGAATGAACCTAACAGCCACATATCAAGTGTTTTGCTTGTTGCTGCAAGTCCCTGAGCCATGCTCGCAGTGGCTCCCCAACCATGCTCTCCGACCCCCAGTTGTTCATCTGGCTGCAAAGGTCAACCAGGTTGGGCGAGCAAGAACAGAGCAGTGCAGCTTGCGTTCCTGCCCTGATGCACAAGCAAAAAAGATACTCTTTGCTGATAGGCTGATTGCTGCACTCATCACACACTTCGGCACTTCTCCAAAGCTTTGGCAGCTTACAACCCACTGTTTTGCTGTAAGATGCGAGTGGGTGGTGATTTTTCAGGGATGAAGGTCAACATCTAGACACGTGGCATGTGACTTGTGTGGGATGGTTCTACGCCCCGTTAGTTGTCAGCTAATGTTGCATTGCCTTGTCTTGTCATGGGCGACAGATGTGGGAGCGGTCCCCAAGCGATCTTCATGTTCAAATCAAAATCCACTTGATTTCTCACAGACTTTACGTAGGACATTTGGTAAAGTTGTGTAAGCCTGACGTCCTGGTTCCAACCGGAGGCGCTCCGCAGCGCATGTTTCCGTTGTAGTCTTTTCCCATTTGTTCTTTGAGCGTTCTACCATGGAGGGCAAGACCTAGTCTGACCATATTGACGGATTGGTGAATCTGTCGGAGAATTCTTTGCCTCCCGACGCTCGATAGACCTTTTGCCGCGGATGCCCATCCTTGCGCTTAGACGCCTCGCGGATTTTGTCCAGTCAGTGCCGCCTCGCGTCGTTCTGCACGGAATGTGCCCACGGAGCGGAAGGTCACTAGGATTGCGCCAATTGTGGGTGAAAAATAGGTACCCGGAAGGGAACCCTGGTAAATGGAAACATGGACGAACACCTGCAGTCCCCTGATGGTTTAATTTTGACCCATACCCAATTCACAAGGAGTGCAGAAAGTTCCATGGTAGCAAAGGCAACATGAAGCTGATTCGCTGACCTTGGCAAGGATATTTTGGGTGATCAGTTTGCGGCTCAAAATGCAACATGATCAGTGGGCCACGTGATCCATACTTGCGCTTTACACCCTTCAAGGCGCCTGTGATCCATACCCGCAATATGCCGTGTCTTCGAACGTTTGCGTCTGGCTGCTGGCAAGGTCCTACCCGCACTAAAGAACGAAAGAAGAACAAGCAAAACAGCAGAATAAACAGAAGGAGACCAGCGCGCATCAAAAAAATGGACAGCCCAAGCCTATCATTTGCATGAAAACGTCCATTGCACCATGCCAGGTGAGCGGAGACCTTCAAAGCCAAGCTCTTGGCAGAGGTCGGGGTGAGCGGAACTGGACTCCTTGAGTGTGAGCCCCCAACCTTTGCAACCTGAGCCCGTCCAAAGGCCAATCTTGTGGCTTTGATGGGGGATGGCAGGAGGACAGTTTTCCGTGTGCACCGTGCAAGGTCAGCTTTCTCCGCTGTGCTACTTGGAGCGCTTCCAAGGCCCGTTGCGCACAACGCACGCAGAAGGAACAGTCATAAGGCTCCACATACAGAAGTTAGAACTCGAGGCCTGATGATCAAGCCAGTAGTTGATGCAAGCCTGCTGTTGTTCTCCCCATGTAAAGGCGTCCACGGCGATCTTTTCGCACCTTGCGGCACTACGCGCAATCTGAGTTGGTAGAGAAGGAGCGAACTGCATGCAAAGGTGTGTTATCATGGACTGGATTGACCTTCAAGGCGAGATGATCAGCATCACTTCACTAGTGCAAACATGTGATGCAGGTCTGGGAGGAGTGAAAAGGATGGCCGTTTTCTTGGGCCACTCTTTCGATAACACAGTTTGCATTGCTGTGTTCTTTCCAGCCGTGTTGATTTTGGTTACACCGCTTTCATTCGCTTGCACCGTTTAATTGCTCGCACAGATAAGCGTAAGCAAATGTCAGGAGATCCGCGCAGCCATGCAGCTGGAGCCGTCACGGCTGCAGGTGCAGTCTGAGGCGCATGGACCGGCGGGCTGGGACGGGCACCAGGTAGCGAATGGTAGAGGATGGAAGTGGAGGACTTCTTGGCTGGGCATGCAGGATGCTGCTGAAAGCAGGGATCTTCGAGGACAATGGCCATAAGCTAAGCATGGCAAACCTGTCTGCGCAGATGGTACAAAGCTTTGAGGCTGCCACTCTTTCGGGGCTCGGCTCCATACGTGGCTATGTCCGGGCCTGAGATCCATTTAAGTCGAGGCATCAAGAGTCCTGTTGCAGTCACCAGACTTGCGACTGGTAGCTCCTTTGAAGGCTGAAGGGGCAAAGGAGGATGTTGCAGGTTGGTTCTACTTTGACCGCCTTTCTCCTCCCGTGTATTTCCGGCTCCAAGGCGTTTAGCCGTTGTAACCAAATCATTGCTCTCACGGGTTCGGTTTGTCCGAGAGCTGTCTTCAAACTCTTTTCACACGCACAGCACAGAGGGCATCCCGCTCAGTCCAACTCCCTGTTTCCCCTGCTTGGCATCCCACGGAGTGCCGCCATTTTGGGCTGCGCAGCCCTTCTTCGAGGCCGGTTGGCATGTCCATGCTCAGGGATTTGCACACTCAAGGCAATGATTGGCATGTTGGCAAGGCTTCACTGAGCATGTCACTGGCTTTTTCTTGTGAGGTTATGAGTGTCAAGATGGGCCAGCCCAAGGCAGGATGTTGGATGCCAGAGGCTGATCCAACAGTTGAGTCGAAGGCGCGCTTGCCACTGCTATGCATTTTTGTGCAGCACTCAGGCGTTTCATGACACATCTTCTCGTTGTTCTTCTGATTATTGTTATACTTGTCATTACTGTTATTTTTGCTATTGTTGTTATGTGTTAGTATTATCCCTAGTGTTGTTATATTTATCATTGTTCTATTTGTATTAATGTTGTGAATATTGTGATTAGCGCTTGTCTTGTTCTTCTTGTTTTTGTTTTTGCTTCTTCTTCTTTTTCTTCTTCTTCTTCTGTTTCTTCTTCTTCTGCTTCTTCGTCTTCTTGGTGCTGGTGGTATTGGTGGTGGTGGTGGTGGACATTGCCGGGGTATTTTCTGCTGTATAGTGTGTTTGACCATGCCCCTCGCAAACCGTGCTTCGGCACATTAAACCATAAACCAGCTGCCTTGAGCCACGCATTGCAGAGACTCAGGTCAACTTCTGGCTTTTCGCCTGCTTCACGCCAGTTCCGCCAAGGCCGCAACGGAGCCCAACTCGGGGTGAAGGATGTGAAACGCACGGGCGGGATTGCAAAACAAGTGAACGGGCAAAACGCATCCAAGAGTTTGGACGGACTTACTCAATCTTTCGAATACACGGGAAGAGCGGAATCAGTCGCCGGCCTTGCAGGCTGCGTCGACGCACAGCCATGCGTGCAGAGGCCGGGCAGCCAACTCAACGTTGCCGTTCAGACCGCTGACTGACTGCGTGCATTTCACGACGCCTTATGCACCGTTAAAGCCAGCCTTGCAGCAGGCGCCGCCTGCCTACCGCGCGTCAGGCGCAGTCATTGTGAGTTGGCATGTGGCCGCGCGGGAGGGACATGCGGTTTGCAGGCTTTGCGCCAGCTGGCTACGAGAGCCGACTGAAGGCATGGTGTTCGCGCATGCTGTGTAACATGGTTTTGTCTAGCGATCTAGTTATTCGAAGAGGCACTCTTTGAAGAGATGTCTAATGTGACCCTATGGAGTAAGATACATGTTTCTTTCCAGCTTTCAGTGGAAGCTGCATGACATCGCTAGAGCCTTGCAAAAGCTGCAAAATGGTCACGACATGATGGCCTTTGGGAAGATGTCTGCTTTTGACTCGCACCGGTCTGAACAGGAGGAGGGCGCACCTGTGGAGATCAAGGGCTTTCTGGAAGAGGCTTTGGTGAAGGCCAGTTTTAGGGCGCATCTTGCAATTGCATTGATCAACTCCAGATTAGGTTGCATATTACTTGTAAATGAACTTGAAAAGAGAAGGAACTTGTCTGGTTGGCTGCGTAGCTCCTTTATAAGACAAGCACAGCTGGACCCCTCCCATGAGACAGTGCGGCTGGGGGCGTAGCACTTCATTGACTCTTGGCTTGCCAGAGAGTTGAGCTCCGGAAAGCCTCAGCGCTGTCCTGTGCATTTGCATGCCCAGCCATTTTTCGCGCAGCCACATTCCTACAGCACTACGGGGACTGGGACCGTGTATCCTTCGCCTAGAGAAATGTCTTAACGCCGTGAAGCGTGGGGAGGATTTACTTGCTCTGACCCTTTTGAGAAATTTCTGTACGCAAAATTGCATGGTTCTCACTACGACATTGTGCAGGCCAAACTTGAAGACAGAGCAGCTGACGTGAGGCCCGGCTTTTGGCTTGTCATAATTCAGCTGTCAGTCATGCAAAACTGAGTTCTCCAGAGTTTGATTGGGATTATTGCAAAGACTGCTAGCAGGGGATGTGTGCAGAGCTGCTTGCTTCAGGGAGTGGTGTGATGAGCAAGGCAAGACGCTTGGTGTGCACACTGGGCGCCGAATTGCCATGCTTTGAGGATTGACATGAGTTCAGTCAGCTAGCCATGATGCCATACAGGTTCAGAGTTAAGCTTGGCATGCACAGAGTTCCCCACTGTGACTTAAACCCAGGCGTGGTTCCTTTCCCCCAAAAGGGGCACCCCTGGGTTTAAGTCTATCCTGGGGTAGTCAAAAAGTGGGAACCTGGGCATGCAACCCGGGCAGTCAGAGATGCGAACTCAAAGCGTTCCTCAGGCGCAGAGCTGCTGCAGGAGGTGCTGGAAGAGTTACTTCGACAGCACCGTTGGTGCGAACTCGAGAGCCGATGAACTCGGCTCACGATGTGGATTCCGTGTGTTCGGCTGTATTGGCATTCACTCCAAGGAGATTGGTGCCTGGGAATATCGTGGCAACTGAAACATAGAGCCAAGGCGAAAACAGGCAACGGGGGGACAAAGGCGCCAAGGCAAAAAATAATGTCATTATTAGGGGAAGGGATGGGGTGTGGGGCAATTTCAATTGAGCGCTCAATTTCTTTCGCAAAAAGCCCCGAGCAACAATCATCACAAACATAGAGCCAAGGCTGGATACACTGGCCGAAGATTTGGATCTCGATAGTGCAGTGGCGACGCCGCTCGCCATGCACCAGTCGATAGCGCGACGGTTATTTGAATCGCAGTGAGGGTAAATTTGCCACAGGCTGGTGTGCATGCGTTCTTCAAATCATGCAGAGTGAATGGTGCTACTGTGGATGCAAAATCTGTTCGCACCACTTTGAAACCATGCGAAACCATTGTTCGCTTTTTTTTGTTGGAGGGGAATCATCATTCCAGGGCTTCTGAGGTGGTGCGAAATGGATTTTGTCCATCCACATCATGGTTGCATTCGTGTGCTCAGACGCAAAGTAGACCAGGAGATTGGCCAATGCCATCATGCAGACGCAGCAGAGCGCTAGAGAAGACATGAAAAAGCGGGAGAAGGCAGCCAGGCGAAGCAAGCTGAGAGTATAGAATATCCTTCGCATTTTCGCGAATTCTGCGGCTTTGTCCAGGGAAGGCATGGCCACCCTTGGGCACAAGCTCATTAGCGGCCAAGTGTCGCTGGAAGCCGCGCCTTGGCAGCGGAGTGCACGGAGCCTTTGGGCCTGGGACTTCGGGGACGTCGCAGGTCCAGGAAGCATACGGCGCCATGGATCAAAAGACCTGAGCGATCGGAACGGTGGGAGCAGCCGATTGACAACTCTTGGCTGCACTCCGCGCGAATTCCCGGCCGAGCGCCGCAAAAAGCAGGAACAGCGCGATTTGCGGTGGGGAGAAGCACAAAGGCGAGCCTTTGCTTCTTTTGACTGGGGTACACCCCATTGCCAAATTCAGTGCTTGCTATGTCGAGTTCAAAGTATGTATGGCAAAGGGAACACTGCACTGACAATTTGTGGAGAGATTACGGAAGCACGATGTACTGTGGCTTTTTCATTCGGCAGCCTCGCCCCATGAGCAGATCAGGAGCTTTTCGGGTAGCACCTCGTTGTGCCGAGGTTTCGCAACAGCATCATGGTGTTCCACATTCCTGGGCACCTGCTTGCAGACCCTCAGTCTTCAGAGCTGCAGCCCCAGTTGCGAGCTGCATGCTCGCTTGCCGCATTCGTCAATAACTTCTGTCTGTAGATGCCTTTTGTACCTCAATTTGGCAGGTTCTGTCCTTTCGATTGAGTTCAATCCAGAAAAAGTGTTGTTTTTTTCTCTCAACCCTCCAAGAGGCGACAAGCGGCTGGAATGGGCTGCCCTTATTTCTCCCATGTTTCAGCCCTCCGAGGCTGGAAGGATTGCTGGGTCAAGAGCTTACTCATTCACAGAGCAGTGAGGCGACTTGATATGTCGATGGTTCAATGTACCATGGTGCCATGGTGCGGCAAATGCGCGCCTCCTTGCGCTGCTAGCAAGGTGACATTGCACTTTGTGCTTTGCTGGGTGTCCGACCCGTTCTGGTGCCGTCTTTGTCGCTGGTACCTCAGCCTTACAACTTGAACTTGAGCATCCGCACAGAATGTTGCCAGCTATGGCAGAGTTCAACCATACCAATGTTCCAAAGGCTTCTCACGGCGTGTTGCCGTGTAAGAGTCGGCTTTTCTTGAGGCAGCGCATCCGAGCCAGACTGGCGGCGGAGTGCGGACAGGAGGCCCATGCAGTCCATCCGGACTGAAGTCATTCAAGTCATCGAAGAGCGCTTTGACATGTTTTTCGGCTTACTAGACAGGTGGACAGCATGTCGGATAACCTGGAGGCTGGCTTCACTTTGGATGCCTCTCATCCGCCTGCAAGAGTCCTCGGCCTCATAGTCCAGAGTACAAGCTCCCTGAGGCAATTTGCACAGCTGCCTTCAAAAACAGAGAAGCAGTGTGCCGCCCTTGGCGCGGTGATGCCAAACATGAGTCCTGTCCGACAGCTCAGGATGCGCTTCATGAAGCAAGAAGCTGGTATGCTTTGCGCAGAGGCTCCAGCGGACTGAGCTCACTCAAGCCTGAACAGCCGCGAAGGATTTGTTTTGTTAACAGATAACCTGCACGATGCAACACCTTGCAGATCAGAAGCCTGCAGAAAGCATCAACCCTTCAGTCCAAGCTGAACGCAGAAGCGCAAGTCGTGATTCTGAAGAGCCATTTGGCTTACACAGACCAGCCTGCTTTGAGAACGAGCCTGCCGCGCTTACAACAGCTATGAGATCTATGACAAGCCGGCATTGACAACTTGTGCAGATTGCTGAGGAAAGGAGGCATGGAGCAGGGGATTCACAATGACACAATGAGATAGCTTTGTCTTCAAGTTTCGTGTAGGATGGCATGACAAGCAATGGTGCTATAGTCATAGCAGTCCCTTCGGACGTGGGCACTATCAAGGATGCAATCGAGGAAGGCAGCACGCGCTGCAAAGAAGCAGGACACGGCCGAAATTGGAATGTAAACTGTCAGGTAGATCCGAGACGAGTTGTAGAAGTAAAATATCATGTCAAGACCGCGGCATTGAAGCACCTGCTTTGACGTTCACTGCTGAGTTTTCCATAAGTCCTGCAAGGACTTGATCAGTTGCTGCTGCAGTTGGAAGACCACAATGAGCCAAGGGAGGCTTGGCCGTTGGAGCTTGCTACTCGCAAAGGACCGGGCAGAGCACAGATTGAACTAGGCATTCCCATTCCCTGCAAAGAACAACAATTCTAGTAAGTTTGCGACGACGGGAAAACAACAAAAAATGAAAGTGTTCCCTTGCGGCTGGCCAGCCGCCAGCCCTTTGCTCTTGCAGGATGCATTCGCACTTTGGAGATAGTGGGCACCAGCGGCAACTCACGGTGTGGCGACGTGCAGCTGCTTGCCTTGGAGGGCACCCAATTGAATCTGCGAAACATCACATGCAGGGACGTGGTCCTCGACGCACAGCTGCCGTAGCTTCGAACCTTGCACACGTTGCATGCCATTGGAACCTGCCACGGGATTTTCTGTCGATCAAGCAAAGAATGTGCCCTAGGAAGGGGCTGGCTGCCTGCTGGAGGGCTGCGATGCGACCAAGCTGCACTACGAGTTTAGCTGGTTCGGTGGCTGATGAGGTACCATCATTATTCAAGCGCCTGATTTCAGACTTCGGATCCTGGCATCATCCAGTTGCTGGAGCAGTTTCCTGTTTCTTGTGTGTTGAGATCTATCTTATGAGGCTTGTTCTCATTGTTATACCGACTTAGATGGCCAAAAGGAAACCAACATGTAAAAGGTGCCATGTCAGGTGCAGAGCGTGGAGGTTTGCGAGGCCGGCGCGGCTCTGCGCGGCTGCACCGTGCACGGGGCCCGCATCGCGGTGGCAGTGCGGGGCCCCCTGCGCCTGGAAGAGACAAAGATCTCTGAGACTCGGCTCAAGCCGCCAGATCCAAATTACGACAGGGGCTCCTGTGTGAGTTTAGGCGGCGGAAAGCATGTCTCCCTTTTGCATTCGGCTGGACTTGTTTGCTCCTTTGGTGCGCGCAAAACTGCTTGACCTGCTAACATTGACTTACCATGATCCACGTATTGATTGCGCTTGGCTTCACTACTCGCTACTAGCGGTGCATGCCGTTAGAGAGTTGCCGCATTTCCTGGGCATTTCCTGACGTGTCGTTACCGCAACAAGGGAGAATGGAAATCCACCAACCATGGTTCAAGGCCTTCGCTCTGAGGACTCGGTCATTGGCATCAGCATTTTCGGCAACCTGGATGTTGGAGTTCAGCGCTGCTGCCTGCAGCGCTGCAGCGCTGCGGGCACGGTGATGCACATTGACATGTTTCTTGGATGAGCATGATCTGGCTTGGCAAGTTGGCTTGGGGAGAATCAGTTCTTTTGGGGGCCGCCCCAAAAGCCAGTCACTTCTAGCCCAGCTAGAAGGGCTGCTAGATTCCCTTCCGACATTCAACACTTCCATGCCCGTTCGGACTAAAGCCATGGTTGAAAGCTCTTAGCGTGGAACGGAAACAGCTACACGATTTGCTGCATAAATGTTCAATGTAGAAGTTCTGTCCAGAAGATTGGATTAGCGGCCAACGCCACCAGGAAGATGAAAGCTAGGGGAAGATTTTGTAGTACACTTTCTAACTCGGCTTGCTTCGGCAATGCAGGTAGGATTGTCTCAAGCCGCGCAACGCATGTTTGTTCCCTGAAAGCTGTTGGAAGGCCACTGGACCAGCAGGCAGAGGTAACTCCTTTGCTGACCTTCGATGATACGAACCTCGTAGAGGACTGGCCAAGTCCATGTTTTGCGTTTGACTCGGGTTTCAAGCGAACTCTGAAAGCCGCCATGTACCCGGCCTCTTGCTGTTTGAAGACGTGTTTTCATCGTTTCCTGCAGGAGTGCGCCCGCGATCTGGAGGAGGGAACCAGTTTGGTTCGTGAGTTTGCAAGTGATCAGAGATATCCCTAATTACTGTGTAGATTGTGCAAAAATAGGCAGTAGCAGCTTATGGCAGGTATTCAGAACCATGTGAGCTCTGACCTGTGCTCCAAGTCAGCCATCCACAGGTGCGACTGCACGTGAGCGGTGCCGAAGCTTTGACCTTCGACAGCATGCCACTGGCCTCCGGCGTGCATGAGGTGCCACGCAGAGGGCGCGAGAATCTGCAGCTGCAGGCCCGGGTTTGGACTCGCATTGCTCAAGGCAAGTCGGTCGGACATGTTTCAGCAAGCCTGAGCCAAAACAGAAATGTTGAGGCACTTGTGTTTCTCTTGATTGACACCTTGTAAGTGCAGTTTAGAGGCATCAAGCCTTTTGGATGCCCCCCAAAAAAAAACAAATCCCAAAAAAGAGGCCAGATTTTTGGGATGAGCACCGAGGTTGACGACGGCCGTATCTCGTGGCTCCGAGCTCCAAGCCTGGAGCAGACGTCTCGCAAGCGCCGCAAGCGCCGCCGCTCCGAGAAGCGCAAGGAGCCGCAGGAGGCCAGGCCGGGTATGGGTCAAACTTCAACCAGGACATGGACCGCAGGTTTTAGTCCTTTCCATTTCAATGTTGAATGCAACCCTGGAAAAATTTACCAGGGTTGCGTTTTGGGTAGCTATTTTTGACCCGGCCAGCAGACATATCCGACGCTTCGTTGCTTGATGTTAGATGCTTGGACTGGGAAGAATGGAAGGAGCTGCAGGACGGTGCCCGTCGAATTGAAGCCAGTGAGGCGCGGTGGGACTTCCAAGACGCGGCTCGATTTCAGAGGTGGACCACGTGCGGAGACCATCCCCGATCGGGGCCCATGGACTTTTGGTTGTCTTCTTAACCTTTTGCTTGAAGCGAGCGGTGACCAAACTAGACTAATTTGGTTCCTCTTCAGTAAGTTATTTTCTTAGTTGAATGTGCGAATATGGACTCGCGTCGGGGCTGTCACAGCAGGTTTCAGGTGTTGAGCATTTGGATCACTTGAGGTTTGGTCAATGTTGACTCTCAAAAGGACGGCATTTGGTCACTCACCAAGCTGCTCAGAGAGGCACTCATCTACTGAGAGGCATGGGTCGAGTGGTGTCCTTTCAAAAACTTCCAATTGGGTCTTTGGGTTGAACAAAATCCAACCCCAGAATCTGACCAAGAGATGCACATTCCCACCAAAGGATCGGTCAACTCCATACAGAGTGCTTTGGACTACTCTCAGGATTGCTCAAGTTTTCACGTCAAGGAGGCTGATTTTGAAGCGATGCGACGGACATTTCATGCGAAGGTCAGCCGTCCGACGTCGGCCGCGACGCCGCGAGGCTTGGGCCTGTGAGGTGCTGGGCCTCGACTCTGCGGCTTTGACGCTGCGGCAGCTGGGCGCGGCCTACCGGCGGAGCCGCGGCGGGAGGGCACCGAAATGGCGCTTTGGGTATTGAGCTGTGGCCATGAATTTTGATGGAACCTCCTAAGTGGGTGGTGGAGATACATCCCCACCCAAATGATGTCCACCAAAAGGTCCCTAATCAAAATTCATACCCATGTCAGGACATTTCAGGAAGCTGGAAATGAATGGGGCCACTCGGTGCATCCCACTGAGATAACTGGAGACATCGTGATGGATGGCACACCACCCCTGACATGCACACCCTGCCTGCCGGGTCGCAGGTTCCCAATCATTGCTCTCCCATAAACCAACATGGGTTTTGGAAGACGATTTTCTTTTTGAAGCTCTGGATCTTCAAGGAGATAGTGGCGCAATTGCCCGGCATTTCCAAACTAGTACACGTTTTCGAGGTGGCACTTCTAGATAGCTGAAATGCACTATTTCCCGTTGGTCAGACTCGAAGGAAAGCCAGGGAGGTGCACCCGGACAAGCACCCAGCGGCTCAGAGCAGCGCCTTCCACGAAGTGTCCTCTGCTTATGAGGCCCAGCCCGTTAGCCGGAATCCGTCGGGCCAACATTTGATGCCAACATCCGAAGGGGTGGTGCGCCGCGCTGCAGGCCTTGCTAGCTGTCTTCAATGCGCTGCCTGAGCCCTGCAGAAAGCGGCAGAAAGGAGAAAATGGCCTGAGCTGATGTGGTGATGGGTGATGGCGCAAGAGACCTGATTCAGCATGCGCAGCAAGCCGTTTGATGCAGTACTGAACGCTCCACAGCTTGAGAATGCGGACCAAGCATCGATTCTGGTCAGGTTCAGGATTTGTTCCTCCGCGTTGCAGTACCTTGGTTGCAAAATGGGAGTATGCAATGTACCTGCTATTGGCATCGGTTCGAACCACTATCAAAGCCAGCTTGCTCAACTGTGATATCGACAAGGATGGTCAGCAACGTTTGATTGAATCAGTTTCTTTGCGGTTGTCATGGGTGATTGTGGGGATCTACTGAGGCAAAGCCCACCGGAAACTTTGACAAGGGCAAGAGTCTCTCGGTGCGCCACTACACACTGCTTTCATTTGCTGTATCGCGGGGTTTTATGCTTTGTGTGCTTTCGCTTCAGTCGACAGGAGGGCTTGAACTGAGTCTGCATGGGCACCTGTCTAGATTGCCACCGCAGGTCTTTGCAAGTTCGCAACTTGTGAGCACGGCTCCACAGAGGGTGGGACCCTTATGTCAAATTTGACGGCCAGGATGAACGAGGATATATGTTGGATTTGTATCATCGAGCCGGCATTATCAAAGTCAATGCCCAGGCCAGTTCTGGTTGGCAACGCAGCCCAATACTGGGGCGCGTGTGGGATGCTCAGGCAGTGTGCTCTGATTGTGACTTCGTGAATCAGAAGAGTTGTCTTGCTGGACTGTCCAGTGTGCAAGGACAGAGATAGATGCTGTTCAGATCGATCGGCGGCTACGGGAGGACATATTTGATACTGTACTTGTGTGTGTGTGTGTGCTCTGTGTGGGGGCGGATGTCATGGCTGCATGCAATGAATTCTGAATGTTGGTGACAGCAGCTACGTGCTCGCATTTTCAATATTTGAATTGGAGGGACGGTGGTCGTTACCAGTGACCAGCGCAGTGTTTTCAGTTTTGCCGTTTACCGGCGTGTTTGATTGAAACTTGGAAAAGGCATCATACAGCTGATGAAGCATGAGTATTTTGATACCGTGTGCTTGCCATGCAACAGGAATCATATGTTGCAATTGGACTGTGCATAGTAGACACATTGTGACATGCCACAACAATGTTTGACACATACTAGACATCGACTAGACATCTCTGACAGGTTGCGTTTTCGAAACGGGGCTGCTCAAGCGCTTTTGGCGGTACTTCGGCACATGCCATAAATTTGCTAGATCGATGTTAGGAACATGCTACTAACAACACATATTCTAGTTACTAAGTCCTTCCTGTTGAGTTTAATGTGTAAGATGTGGGCAAAAGTTAACCGGCCTGAGTAATGCTTTGCTTGCAGACTGTCACTGTGTGATAGCCTTTTTCAGGAACTCCGGTGGATTCACAATGAGATAAGCGCAAACATTGGTTTCACTCAAATCATACTGTGACGACGAAGATCCCCAGCCCCTCAATCTTCGAAAGCAGGGATGTCCGGAAATGTAACTGTTGTCCCTCCCCTCAAAGTAAGGGACTCGAATCCCTGCTTTTCTTTGTTTGGGGGGCGAAGGGCCTAGGCGGGGGTGAACAATTGTAACTTGAAACAGGACAGGGCACGTCTAAGTTACATTTCATCAGCCACCCCTCATTAGGCCAGACAACGCAACTGCTTTGCCTACCTGGAACTTGGCCATGTTGAAGCAGGAATGTACCCTGTAATTGTAAGGGATGCATCAGGCATTCAACATTTAGTTTTCATTTGGCATGAATCTGGGGAAAATGCAAGCCTTACGCTTTCGGTGTCGGCAAATGACATGTTCAGACGTTCCCCCCTTTCAATGGGCGTGGGGGAGTTGAACTTGTCGCCAATCTACGGCCAGTTTCTTGCTGTGATTTGAGGGGTGATGCTTCTGCTGCATGCCTGACTGTAACAGCGGTTGCTGCTTGCTTTCACGTTCATCCACAAGCTTGCCCAGCTGAGAACGGAGGAACAAGTGGTGTGCGTTCTACCCGTGGCTGCTGGATCACTTCGAGGCTGTCTACACACGACAACTAGAACAGACTGCCTGCTGCGAAGCAGGTGACGGCAGCTTGCGCTACGTTCCCTCTGAGAAGCTTGCGGCGCAGGCGTTACCAAAGGAAGGTGCATGAGACAAACGTTGCCTTTGCATCTCCTGTCACAAACACACAAACACACACACACTGACACACACACTGACACACTTACACACTTACACGCTTACACGCTTACACCCTTACACACACGCTTACACCCTTACACACTTACACGCTTACACCCACCCTTACACACTTACACACTTACACACGTACACACGTACACATACAATTACACACTCTTACACATACAATTACACACTTACACACACTTACACACTTACACACTTACACACACACACACGCTTACACACTTACACACACACACACACTTGCACACTTACACACTTACACACTTACACACACACTTACACACTTACACACACACACACACTGGCACACTTACACACTTGCACACACACACACACACACTGGCACACTTACACACTTACACACACACACACTTACACACTTACACACTCACACACACACACTTACACACTGACACACTTATTGGTACAAGCTTGGTTGTTTCAATTCCATGAGTGACTTAAAACTGCTGCTGGCTGTGCGTGATGAATGAGAAAGATAGTGCTGACTGCTTGGCTGCAACAACACATATCAAACAGCTTCGAAGAAATCTGTTTAGCCAGATCGCCGAAGAGCTGAAAGCGACAAAGCTCATTTTCTTCACGAGAGGCTCCGCCCTGTATATCTCCCTTAAGCACTTGTTTCGCAGATGTGGTTTCACGCCCGGCTCGAATTGACTGCCAATGAACGATGTCGCAGGCCAGAGGATTGTGGACACGGTCAGGGGCAATGCGACTCCGACATGTTGAGAGTCTGCTGCAAGTTAGCTGTGAGCCGAAATGAGGGCCAAGGCAATTCAGAAAGGTGCTGAAAACTGGCGGGCCCGAAAGTGTTTTTTTTTTTTTTCTGAAAGGCCATCCCGACCATGCAACTTGGAGAAGCCAGCAAGCTGCTGGACTATGCGCCGGCAGCTGAGTTCAAAATCTGAAGCATGAAAGTCCGATTTCTCGAGCACGGATCCCTCATTCGCCCCTTTCACACGGACCACTTCCAGTGAGGTGAAATTATAACTGAGGAAGGACAATGAAGCCTTCATGGAGCAGGACCCTGGGAAGCTTTGGGGCTGTGAGCGGTGAACGTGTGAGACATATGGACATTTGCTCATACGCGACAGAACAGGGGCCGTTGGTTTTTTTCAACAGCTGGTTCTACGATTTGGTTGGGTATAGCAAAGCCTATCTAAGCCTTTGCAGTCATGATAGAAACAAAAGTCAATGGCCGGGGCTTGGTTTCGGTGCTCCACTGAGCATGGACCGTTGGCTCACGGAATCGCCACACAGGAAGAGTCAAGGGAGATCATTCGGTACTTGGAGCTGCCTGCGGCTCAACGAGCTATGTGGATCTACCGGTTTATCGCACTCTTCCAACACACATCATTCTGACTAAGTTGACAAGGGGTTGCTGGAAGACAATCTTGTACAGGCGTTTTGTTGAGTGAGGCTGTGGTCCCAGCGTTTGCTGGAATCTAGCCAATGTGTGTTTTTCATTGGAATCAACGTTAAGCTAAGGATACAACTATTGCCCACTGCACAGATGTCATTGCTTGATTGGAAGCCGTCTCATGATGTGCTCGGCAGCCCTAGGCTGCTCCAAGCATTGCGAAGTGGCACCCGCCGGGGTCATTTGATTGACCCAAAGCGCGGTGCCCTTCTGCAGGCAAGGGCAAGTGCCAAGTAGGATGCATGCCTGTCATTCAGTCGAGGCTCCCTGCACACTTCCTGCTCAGGAGTTGTACACAACAGACGGAAGCGGCACCATGATTTCGTTGGATCTTTACGACGGGATCAGGCGCTTTGAAATATTGCTTTGAACTTCTGCCTATATGCTGTCAGTGGAAGATTGCTACCTGAATGATGCTTGTGTTTGGCTGTGTGTGTGTGTGTTCCAATCATGTGCTACATGTTGAGTTGGGCCACGTTGCGACAGGTTGGCCCGCTCCGGCGGGGATGTGACAGGGATCTTGGAGCTCATCGAGCCATTGGTGAAGAGCTGGGCTTGGTCATCCACTGGGCATCGAGATGAGACGAGTTGGTTCTTGAAGCAGTAGATGGAGTCATGGTACTAGAGAATAGCACAGTTGTTCCGGAACACCCAACTTCGAGGTGACATGGCCTTCATGCTGCCTAGTCATTCGGTTGGCAGGACAACATTTGTGCAGGCTTGCATAGGCATTTTGCGGAGGCTTGAAATGTGAAGCTTTGCGTAAGCGACATACAAAGACAGCACCAAAGATGCCAAAAGATGCCAATGTTGCGTTACGGTGCATGGGGGCAATTCTGGAAACTTGGCAGAGATAACTCGAAGTGCAAATGCCCCACAAAACCAAATTCGAACAGCGTTAAACAAGTAGCGTCGATTACGGTGACCCGAACCCAAGGCGTGGTTTGCTCAAGCGCCGCGGTGCCTACGAGGCCGGCTGGAAGAGGATCTTGATCGTTGTTCTCACCTCGCGCTTTTGCAAAGTTGACTCACGTTCCCGGTTGGGACCAACCATACAAGTAGACTGGTTGGTGCACTACTGAGTTGTGCAATATACCTGTGGCAAGGTTGAACGAGCCTCGACCCTGGCTGCAATTCCCACTGAGACGGCTTGCATGAATGCTTCGTATGAGGGCCTGCTTGTGCATGTGTGTGTGTGTCTAAGGCTTGCAACAACCAGGAGATGTTTGTTTGGAAGCGCGACGACACTTGGGCAGCATTTTGTTTCAGGGATGAAGGTCTGCATCTTCGTTTGGATATTTGTCGCATGCCGCGTAAGCATTGGGCTGACAGGGCTACAGGTGGGTGTTTGCAGAGGCTTCGGTTGTGAAGCCTTGCGTAGGTAGTTGAGCTACTGCCACAAGGTCAGACACCTGCAAACGGAAGGCGACATGTCTAAAAGAAAGCCTCCTCAATCTGTGGTCGGTGTTTGTGTTTCAGCGAGCAATGCATTGTTCTGCAATGCAAGACAAAACTATTGTTTTCAATGCGAGATGTAACCTTCAAGGCTAGCCTAGCAGCGCTCGAACCACAGGCGTTCTTGGGGCGTAGCCCAGCCGAAGTCTAAAACGAGCCTTTCTTGACAAAAGAGTGCTTTGTGGACATGACGGAGCATGAAAAATGACTTTCAATGCTAGCTTCTTCGCAAAGGCCTCTTGATGTCACAGACATGTCCTGCATTGCACAGGCGACACGTTCAAACGACACCTGCGGAGATTTTCCCTTCGTCAAGGCGACCAATTAGAAGGAGCTGTCGGAACATCTAAACTTGGTGAGCTTTCCCACTTTCGCCACTTCTTCTCCAAGTTCGACCGCAGTCGACCTTGCCAGAGCTGCGCAAAACGTGTCTTGGGCATCCCGGAATATGCATGTTACCTAGTCAGCATGGTCTCACGTACACACTTGTGTAAGAAGGCAAGTATAAATGAGCAAAGTCGAACACCTCTGAGTCGCCTCAGAGTACAAGTCGGCGCCAACCCCGAGGTTCGCCCACCCCCATATGCTGGCCCCACCAACTCTGTGTTAGGGTTTATGCAAGGTTTATGCTGTCCCCACCAACACGTTTTCGGGTTTATGTTGGGCCCACCAACGCTTTTAAGACACCAACACGTTTTAGGGTTTATGTTGCGTTTAGGGTTTATGTTGGCCCCACCGACATCTTTTAGGGTTTATGCTTACCTCACCAACAAGTTTTAGGGTTTTTATGTTGGTCTCCAGACACCTGTTACGGTGGGGAGCGGCCGGGGACATTTGGGGGCGGGCAAATCTCAGGGTCCTGGCGTATCATATCGACCCATTACGTAAGCAAAGGCTCCACTGGCGCGAGGTGGCGTAAGCAGATTTTGAGGGAACATGATACCTAAGCATTCTGCGAAAGCTTTTGTTCAAATATCATTTGTTCATGCCGTTCATGTGCTTTGCCCAGACTACCTTGTCGAGACAGCGTGCTGTCCAACAGATTGGAGAATAGGTTGGCTCCTTTGCAGCAAGACTGTGACGAACATAACTTAGCTCTCAGCAATTTTGTAGTTCACGAAAGTCACGGAAGTTAGAAAAATACAGATGCCCGTATTCAGCGCGTAAGGCACGCGCAAGGGACGGGTAAGGCACACCTGGCCAAATTGTACTCCGCGTACCATACTAGGGGTAGGGGTGTCGTGTGAGCCAAAACAAGGGTTTGCATGGGTTGCGTAAGGTACACGTCAGCAATAGCGAAGCATGGCACATTGGACATGGCTCAAATGATGAGGCCAGAGAACGACTCACCTGAAGGAAGCTGTAAATCATGAGAAACGATTAGTCAGTCTCTTCGTGAAGCAAGGTCCATGAGATGATGGCCACAGCTGCTTGAAATTCCTGTTCAGAGTGGTTGCCTCTTCTGGCCAAGCTCAGGATGAGTTTATTGGCTGTGCTAGCCTGTCGCGCTTTGCAGACGCACCTGGCAAAGCAGAGTTGGAGCCCCGGTGGGCTGCAACCGGCGGCAAAAGTCAACCACGGCTAGCTGCCTCGTTGTCTTACAGCGCAAGGTTGGGTTGCTTCGTCATCTCTCCGGTTTGTCGGGGCAAAGGCCAGCTGGTTGCGAGAATGGAATGTGGACCTTGGCACTTCGTTTGCCGTGAGCTTTGCTCCGTGCAGGCCATGGTGCAGTGCTCTTATCCTACATGGAGAGAGTCGCCACGTTGCTGGGAGTGTCACTTGGTCAGCCTGTCCTCCACAAGCGCACAAGTATGTGTATTCGCATATGTTTGTGTGTTTGTGCATGTCCGAGAGGTAAAGCTGGCATTGGCAAAACCAAGGAGCCAGCTTTTCCTGCTGACTACGCAAACCATGCCTTCCTGACATGATTATAGCTTGCCCAGTCAGCAGCCACCGGGCAAACGTGTGACCCGGAGTTGCAGCTTGCAGTTAACAATGGTCCATGCGGTCCATTTGTTCAGCATGTCATTTCTTCTCATTGTAGATGACGCAAGTCGTGGCAAAGCAAACTCGCTGCTCCAGTTCGCGCAGCTGTCGATCGACGACGCACTCAGGCAATGGTTTGTGGAGCGCGGCTTCCGAAGCGCAACATTGGATGATCTTCCACCAGGCACTGCAACATTGGGAGCCAGAAGACAGAGGTGACACAGGTTTTGCAGTCTGGGTCTACCGCAGGCAAGCGCGAGGGCTACGACCTCGGCCGGTCCTCCAAGGCGCTCGGAACGCCTGTAACTCCTGCAATGATGCTGCCAATTGCACACGAGAACAGGTGCTGTCAAAGCGCTAAACAACAACGGTCAAGGCCAACGCAAACTAGCAACAGCAATCAGCCAAAGATGAGCACAAGCACAGCACCAGCAGTCCAGCACACAAATGAGCAAGAACCAGCAGCAATCAGCAATACTATAAACAGCAACAAGCAAAGACATCGGCAGCAACAGCAGCAAACAAGCTGGTTTGCCAAGTACGTGACTAGCCAGCCGAATGCCAACAATAAGCAGTTGAGAGGGTTATTGGTTGCAATAGGATGCACTGAAAGTAGCCGGATCAATTATATCAAACTCACCGACTGCACGTACAGCAGCAACAACATCCAGAACTGCGAGCGCAACCACGACACCAATAGCCAAATCCAGGAATGATCCTGATTCGTGCACAACATGCTCGTTGTACTCGAAGAATCGCAAATGAGCTCCACATGATGCGGTAAATCAATGTCCAGCTTTGACCACCAGGTGTTCATCAAGGACGTGTCAGAGTTGCCGAGTGAGCTGCAGCAGCGGTTCACCTTCATTGAGGTAGATACGCTGGATTGATTTTCACCACATTGATTGAGTGGTTGTGCGGTGCAGAACCAAAGCAAGCTCATGTTCAACGTTCTGAGCCTCAGCGCCACATTGGGACACTTGGTAGACGACTAAGGCAGTGTCTTCTGAACGGTTTGCATGTGTTTTCAAGGAATGCCCAATTGAGCGTGTTTGCTTGCTGCCTGGATTACGGGCTGAAGCATGCTTGAAGCAATGGTGGACAAGCCTTCTGGACATGTAATGAGCCTTCTGAAATGGGTGGCAATCCTTTCGGCTCAAGCGGGCATCGGCTGTTCAATTCAGCACAAAGGCGAGTGGCAGGATGAGGCGCTGCTTGGTCGCCCTGCTTCTGTTGCAGGATGTGCTCGGTGGCCCATGCGCTGATGAGCATAGCTTTTGCGCAGTTTGGGCGCGCAAGGGTGCATGCAAAGAAAACTCGGCATACATGTGGCGGCATTGTCCCAAGTCATGCGATGAATGCGATCGCTTCACCACTACTACGGTGACATCGACAGAGGCGCCTACCACCACTCCACCGCCAGAGACTTCTACAAGCCAGCTGTTGCCAGAGAACTCTACAACGGGGTTGGTGGAGACTACGAGCGTAGTGCCAGAATTGTCACAGACTAAGACCAAAGAGTCAGATCCAACTGAGTTGCCGGAGTCCACGAATGAGTTGTCGGAGACCACGAATGAGTTGCCGGAGACCACGACTATGTCGCCTGTGCCTCCGACCTCCAAAACTACAGCGCCTCCTACAACCCAGGCAGTCACAACAACTACAGCAAAGTGTCTTGATTGAAGGGTTTTGTTCTGACTTGTTTTGCGGCTTTGACCAAGCATAGATGTATTTCGTACTTCAGTGCAGACTGAGTTATGAACCAAGTCAACGTTGCATGTGTTTTCAAGTCCGTAGTCTTGCCCATGGCTTTGTGGCCTCTTGTCCAAGTGAGGCCTTTGGTACCAAATGCAAAAAGGTGCAGCGCGTATGATCACAAGGCGTTGGCGGGATGAGAGGGATGGCAGGCATGACCAGTTGGTAGCTTGATAGTCAAGTCCTTGCAATCGCATGACCGAAGCATTGCTTGATGAAGTGCAATGCATTTGTTGGAGGCCAACACAGATGTTGCTGGCACCATGCTTGCTGTCATTCCGGCGCCCTCTGATGATGTATGTTGCAGCATCTTGGCAGATAATGGCACCGTTTGTTCCATTCGCGCCGGGCGTGCCAAGGGAAGGCCGGCGAACGCGACAGGATGGCCTTGCCGTGAACGGGGACCTCCAACTTGCTTGTTAAGTTTGAGCGTTTGTTTGTATGCTATTCTTGTGTGTGTGTGTGTGTTGCCTCGGTCTTTGCTAGTCCTTACAGCCCGGTAGTGCGCTTGCGCTTGTCATGTTAGTTTCTGTCTCGACTTACGAAAGGATGGATCACATGTTGCAGCACAATGCTTTTCCGAGGCAAGTGTGACACAACTCCTCGCTGTGCTGGTTTTTCCTTCTACTTGAACGTTTGCTATCTCAAGACCAACTTGCAAGGGACCTTCCGGAAGTCTGGGTGCACATCTCAGATCAGGAAGCCCAGTGTCACGAAGACCGAGTGCTCGACCTTCAGCCAGCCAGAGGCCAACAAGGACTTGGCGGGACAGCTCCTTGCAGCGATCTATGCCCCCGAGCCAGCGGAATGCTGCGCGGCATGCGGCAGGGAGCCAAAGTGCCAAGGTTTCGCTTACTTCGATAGCTATTGCTATCTGAAGACCAATGTGGCGGGCACTTTCTACAAGCCAGGATGCAGTGTTCAAATGCAATCCCCCGTTCGCCGCTTGGAGGCCGAACCCCTGACCTTGGTGTGAGCGTTGGTTCTGTGGTCTCTTTTGCAAAGGGCAGCTTGGGGGCAGACCTCGTCCTGTGCTTGCGTGGCGCTTACGAGTTGGAGCTTGTGGAGCGTACCACCCCTGTTCGACCAACAGAGCTCGACTGTGACGGGCGGGCGCAGTGCATGCCAAATTGATGGCGAAACCCCAAGCCATCACAATCCCCATAAGGGCACACGGCCCTGGGCTCCCTTGTACAGAGGAGTCTTGCACACTTCAGCGTCCAATTTCTCCCAAGTTGATTTTTGCTCGCTGCCTTGCGAAATAGCAAGTGTAATTTCCAACTCTTCAGGAGTATACAGCGAACAACTTGGCCAGCTAGATTAGATTAGAATTCGTTATAAGCTGACGGCACAGTCGGAACGTGGATGAGAGTGTGCACAGGCAAAGAAATATATAAAAGAAAAACAGGAATTATGATACAATCACATACAAACAGGACTACTATTATATATAGATATATTTTGAAAATTCGATATATATATATATACTAGAATGCTGGACCTTGTTTATTGAGAATTGTGTTATTAAGCTTTTGGATTTTGAGGTTTATAGTGTTTTAGGTTGAGTAATTAAAGATTTATGGAATTCTATTATTGGGATTGAATTAGGAAGTTGAGAGGAGAATTAGTTGTTTTTATTGCGAATTTTGAGTTATAATTTTTTTATTTAATTGGTTTTTTGGGGTTTGAATTTGATGTAAATTATGGTACCGAAATAATGGGGGGGTTTTAAATTGGGGATATTCGGTATAATTTAAATTATTGATATTAAATTAGATAAATTATGAAAAATGTATATTATTATATATAGTATAATGAATATATGGGAGAAAATATGTATGGGTGTGCGATGAAAAAATATATGGGTATATGAGTTAATCTTAGAATTATTAGAGCTTTGATTTAATATTGGGTTTTTGCATTTTCTTTGGAGAACGATAGGGGATTCACAAAAAATGATACCTATGAACATGGTTTGTGCTGGATTTTCGAGTTGGAGCTGCCGAAGTCTAACTTATATACCGTGTTTATATTGAAAGCCACGATTTGCGACTACCGCTTAGATTGATACATGACCGTCGTAAGCTGCGATCTTCGAGCTGGAGTTGCCGAAGTGTAACTTGTGTATTGCGCTTGTGGTGAAAATTGCGATTTGTTATCTTGAGGTTGCTGCCAGTAAGTAAGCAAACCGTTAAGATTGATATATGATTATCGCAAGGCAGAGAAGGCTATTGTGTGTTTGCTTGGCTCTAACAGCTTATGGAAAATTGTGAAAATTTTCGTTACGCGATATACGCCCAGAACGATATCCCGGTCGATACCCCGTCGATACCCCGAGCATTGGCCCGAGTTGCAAATGTGAGGTCTAGTGCATTTGCTTACAAAAGATTATGCGTGTGGTTCCAGTGCTGTGTTTGCGTAGAAAGTTTGTCGGGTGCTTTTCGAGTTCGCGCGGCGCTATAGCGAGAGCGCTTGGGCACGCATGGTCACCGCGAAGAGGGTTCACCGGGCACTTTCCAAATTCGCACGGAGTCGTAGCGAGGGTCGCAGAGGGTTCATTGGGCACTTTACGAATTTGCACGGCGCCACAGCGAGAGCGTTTGGGCGCGCAGGATCACTGCAGAGGATTCACCGGGCACTTTCCAAATTCGCACGGCGTCGCAGCGAGGGCGCTTTGACACGCGTGATCCTCGTAGAGGGTTCATTGGGCACTTTACGAATTTGCACGGCGCCACAGCGAGAGCACTTGGGCGCACAGGATCCCTGCAGAGGGTTCATCGGGCAGTTTTTAAATTTCGCACGGCGTCACAGCGAGGGCGCTGTGGCACGCGTAATCCTCGCAGAGGGTTCATTGGGCGCTTTACAAATTCGCACGGCGCCACTGTGGGAGCGCTTCGAGGCGCGCGATCCCTGCAGAGGGTTCATCGGGCACAGCACGAACACGTGGAACGTGGAGAACGATAGGGGACTCACTAAAAGTAGAATGAATACACCCCACACAGCAAATATAGACGCTGGCTCATATGGTGGGAAATAAAAATTAATGATTAAATATATTATTATAAAAATGATGAATTATATTTGTTTTTTTTGGCGGGGGGGGGGAATTTATTTATTTTATATTAAAAAAATAATTGAATTATGTATATAATATATGTTTCTTGTGACATTTTTTGTGATAGATGTTTTATGATAATTTTATATTAAATATATATTTTATTTAAATAATCTATTAAAACGATGTTTTACCCGAAATTATTTTATATAAAACATAATTTATTATAAAAAAAAACCTTCGACAAATATAAATTGTATTTTTAACAAATTTTATATAAAAATAATTTATTACCCAAAAACATTTTAAAACATAAATAAATATTCTACTAAAACGATATAAAAATATTCTAGTATTGTGGGCGGTGTTGGTTGATTTTAACTGGATTTTCTTTGGGGGAATCTGAAATTTTAGATGGAATTGTCATTTCCTACCCAAAAGGAAGGGATGGTTAGATAATATATAAATATTCTTATACTATATCTATGTCCCTATATAATATCTTACTAGAGTCCCGACGAATGTCTTGTTAGAATAGTTCGTCAATGGATCCCGCCGAATATCTTAATAGAATTATTCGCGAATGGATTCCTCTAAATATTCCATCAGAGTTGTTTGCAAATGAATTTCGCCGAATTTCCCATTAGAGCGGTTCGTTTAGTAAATCCCGCCGAATCTCCCGTTAAAATGATTCGTTAATGGATCCCGTCGAATATCCCGCCAGAGCTATTCACCAATGGATCCCGCCCAATATCCCGCTAGAATTATTTGCCACTGGATCGGTGTATATCGCCACAATTAAAATATATAGAAACAAAAATTAATATTGATAATGAATATGGTAAGAATTACCATAATATTAACAAATATAAATAATATTCAAATAATACATATAATACATTATTATTATTACATCCTCTATATTAATAATAATATTTTATGAAAATAATACTTATTATTATTTTTACATAAAGATTTTAATATATAATTCTATTTTATATTATAATTATAATATTTAGAAAAATGATGTTAATAATCAATATAATAATAACAAATTATAAATAAAAAAATATATATCAATTTCAAATTATTCAAATTATCTAATCAAAATTATATATATAACAAAAGTAAAATAATACTATATAAGTATTATTATTATATGATATATATTATCAATAATACCTAATGATATATTTTAGATATTTATATATATATATCATTTATTATAATAATAATAAACCTATGAAATTATATATAAATTAAATATATATAAATTTTCAATAATTATATTATTAATTTAAATATTAGTTATATTTTATATATAAGAATTATATATCTAAAGATAAAAAAAAATATAATAATAATAAAAATCATTATTATAGTATCTATATTATAAAATAATAATTTCTATTATATTTACGAATCACCAAAAATAATCAAAATTTCAATTATTTATTTATATAGAATCATATTAGTATTTTGTCTTTTAAAATATGTTTAATATTCAATATATGTTAATTAAATAATATATTTATAATATTTAAACATTGATAATTAAAACTAGGATTATGGTATTCAATCAAATATATATATTGGGGTTTGGCTTGCACTATAGACAAAATTTGAAGATTTAATAATTATCAACAATATAAATCCTAAATATATATAATTAGAAACGACAATTAATTATTTCCAACATACCGACATGTTAATATAACGCCTATACAAACACCAAAGGCAAATCGGACACTAACATAATATTAAAACAATTACCTCAGACGAATCCGAATATTTTGCGAAAAAAACAAAAAAAAACGAGCCCAATATAACTCTCGAGACTAAAATTAAAATTTCTTTTTTGTTTGTTTTTCTGTTTTTTTTGTGTTTGAGGGTTATATATGTGTTTGTTGTATTTTTGTTGTTTTTATTTTTTTTATTTATTGGTGTTTTTGTTTGTTATTTTCTAAATTTGTTTTACATATTTTAATTTTTATTATTTTTTTCTAAAAGAATTAAAATAGATTTGGTGTTAATAATAATCCAAAAAACTAGAAAACAAAAAACTAAGAAAATAGAAAAATAAATATTCAAAAAAAAACTAAAAACATAAAAGAAATAAATAAATAAAAACAAGAAAACAAAAACACAACATACATAAAAAAAACAATAAATCAAAATATACAATTTTACAACAATATATCATAAATTGTTAAAACCAACCAAAACAAACATAATCATTAATCCAAAACCTATAACAACACTATAATTTACAAAAACAAAAACTCGAAAAAACACCGAACAAAACAATAATAATAATAATAATAATTCAAATTTCATTAAATTCATCAACCATATTTTCAATAATTAAATATCTATATTAATATCAAATATTTTTTTTTTTTTTTTTTTAAATAACCATATATAACAAATACATTTTTTTCATATAACAATATATCAATAACATACCGTATCCAAAAATACTATTTATTTCATAAAGATACTTAAATATTAAATACAATAAAATTTCACAATTTTGTTCGCCGAATGCTTCGAACGACTTCGTATAACTTCGCGCTCGAAGAAGCTCCACTTGTGTCTGGCCCACCTAGGGGTTTCAGATTTGTTTCGAAACAGGAAATTCGTTAGTTCTTTCCAAAAAGAAAAATATAACGACAAACCACGAAACCATAGCCAATTCTTCTAGGCAAAGAAAACACAACAACAATACAATCCATCATCGTGCAACAAACCGAAGTGGCGATCGACCCATCGATTTGGCCGAGTTTGCAAACTGCATTGGTGACATCAATTTAAAATCACCCCATAAAAGCTGCTTTGAGATAAACAAACCACTTTGCAAAAAACATGAAGACACAAACCACCCCAGGTCAAATCCAGGCCAGATTGCCAAACTGTCCCCCCAAACAAAACCCCATGTCGAGACATCCTTCATAGCCACACAGTAGATTCAGTCTAGAATACCCCGCTTTTCCAGACTGACTTAGGATTCAGGTTGGGCTTCTGTGTTTGCATTTGATAACCAGATGTACCTTGAAAATGTAGTTTGACCCTATCTCCAAGATCATTGCAAACTATTCTATCAGCAAGCTGGAAAAGTGTTGGAAACTCGGGCGGCGGATGACAGGCAGACCAAGCAAGGCATGGTGGGGGGTAAGTGGGAGAAGTGCAAAGCGACCAATATGAAAGACGTCAGAAGGAAGTGTTGAACTGAAATCGAAGGGAGGTCATTTCGGAAAGGCTATCCTGCCGGGGACACCTAGCTGTCTTATCTTTCCATTTTAAGGCGACACATTGGGCGGTTTGCGGA